TATCAGAAATTTATAACGTTAAAGAATCCGAGACGCCTAATTTAATTATAAATTTTAATTCAGAAATATTCGTTTAGTTTTAATTCTAGTAGGCTACGGAGTTTTGATTCTAAACGTTTGCTTAACCAACAGCTACCTGAGGATTTAGTTATTTTGCTAGTGCAGTTGATAGTACCTAAATTTTTAATCTTATTATCTAAACTGTTCGCATTTTAGGCTAATCCATAAACCCAAATACGATTAGCAACAACGACTATGATGGGTTTATCGATAAATGTTAAAGGTGATTCAAATGATTTCTAAATTTAGAAGACATGAAGATATAGTGCAACGCATGTATGGGCCAGGTTAACATGCAGGTTGTTGACGTATATGACAATTTGAAAATAATGAACATGATCAGAAAGATAATTTTAAAGTTAAGACTGCTTATGAAACTTCAGGCAAGAATATGACGCGTTATAAACATTCCGTAAGAAGTTAATGCATTTAGCCTAGGGACACTTACAAATATATGGCAAAAGCAACTAGAAAACATATACATGTTAAGTACAAAAAGTCATTAAGTAAAATAGTTGAACTCGCCTGGGTTATTTTTGAAAATTAGATTACTCAGTGGACGACATATATAACGCCATTCGTGAGTAGTAATGATCCAAAAGCATCCAGAATAAAACATGCAGTATGGCAATCACTTCCAGGGTGCTTGATGCTGTCGAGGTTTTTGGGACTCACTCTGATCAGAACAACTGAATGAATCCAGATAATTGTGTGTGCCATTGAATCAGCCATCTAAAATGAACTCATGATTGCAGAAAACTTATAGCTGGAACTCACCGAATTTTTTTGGAGAAGTGTCACCCTTGTTGTTTGGCAATGGAACTCGAGAATATGAAATTAGGCAGGCAGTGGTCGGAAGAAAAGATATTACAGGATAGTGCATAGTTTAAAACAGGACGAGGTGTTAAGCGAAGGAATTAGATCCAGATAACTATTCAATCCTTGATTGCATTGTTAGTCAATGTATATTTACGCTACTAACAGGTCATATTTGCTAGAGCTTGATGCTTAAACAAGCCTATGTCGCTGAAGCATGTAAACGCTATTAAAGCTTGTTAACGAACCATCAAAGCTAATTAGTTAATATAGACGACCAGTTTTTATTATCGAATGAGCTAGTAAGTTATGTGAACTAATAGATATAACATTACGATAATATATGTGACCATTAATCAAAGGACTATTAGAATAGTGGGTTTACAAAAATTAAATCCGATTGAGAAGGTTAAGGTGGAAATAAGGATTAACAATAATAGGTTGCGTTTCTTTAGTTGGGCTCACCAATGTAGAATTATGGTCTACTATGATATTAGTACTGCTCTAATAATAGACCTAATCCTAAATTTGTAGATTTGTCATGATATAACTGCCTAATCTATAAGATCTTACGTGGAAGTCACACCATCGACTACACCAACTCACTGTATCGTATCAATTACCAATACATGATGTAGAACAAGGTTAGGCTAGAGAAAGAACAATATATTTAATATGAATAGAAGATATAAAGTAACATTGAGATGGACCACGCCTGCATGGCCGAGCCATGCCATACGATCAACTCCAGTCCATTCAATTCATTGTTCGCGCCTTCTCCATCGTTAGGTATTTCTCCGCGTTAAATATTGAATATCTATTTTCTGAGTAGTCTCGTGTTCACAGCTTTGTGGATTGTGTGGCTATTGTCCAATGCCACTACAGATCCACTTATGGGAATTGGAAAACACTGATTCCAAACATATGGTGCACGTGAGCTTGTACTCGCACTGGACACTATCCACACAGTCCTCAAAGCTGAACCCTAGACACTTGGGAAAATAGATGCTCAACATTTGACGCGGAGAAAAACCCAACGATGAAGAAGGCTGGAACAATGAATCGAATGAATTCAGATTGACCAGATGGCATGGCTCAGCCTCACAGGTGTGGTCGCTCTGTACAGCTTGCTTTTACTCTTAATAAATACATTGTTCTATCTCCAGCTATATCATGACGAATCTGCAATTTTAGGATTAAGTCTTTTATGAGAGCAGTACTAATATCATAGTGAACCATAATTCAAGAAGCTTCAGGATCCTGAAAAAATAAATGACGTGTGAACATATTGTTGGTCACCAGCCACCATGAAATTCCATTTCCTAACGTTGCTCCACTGCCTTGTAGTCTAGACATCTATGCGAAAAACGGGTGAAGTGTTCTCGTCATACAAATCGAGTGACAAAGTGTGGTCAATATGTATTTGGCGTTTCCGTTTACGGCTATTATGATAAACGAAAATTCGGGAAGCTCAGAGAAAATCTTGAATGCAGTTGGCACAATCTGCAATCAAGCAGCCCAGGAGATGAAACATTGGATTTCTGACCTAACTGAAATGACAGAGGATGATCAAGAAAAAGCGCAGGCTAGAACAAACTATTTGGGGCAGTTTTCACACGGGAACTTATCCTAGACAAAGAAACGGACCCAAATACAATGTCAAAAACCATCCGCTCAGAGTAAATTTTAATCAAGACGATATGATTAAGGCTACTCACATTTTTGCCACGGAAAAGTAAACAGGACCTGATGAACTGCTTCCCGAACCCCTGAGACGAATCGCACAATATGTTACAGCCACAACAACTGTGATATTTAATATGTCACTCGACCAAGGTGTGTTACATATGGAGTTGAAGGGTGCAGTCGTTACTCCCATACATAAAACAGGACCAAGACAACTTCCATCAAACTATAGACACGTCAGTCCCTCCAGTGTCGTGGGAACCAACAACTTGTTAAACAGCCAATGCCATGGTTCCAGAAAAGGTTTATCTTGCACAATAAACCTCCTTATAGAAATGGAGCAATGGACAAAGACCCTAGACAATGGAAAATTAGTGTATGTTGTCTACATAGAATTCAGCAAACCATTTGATAAAGTGCCGACAAGCAGACTGCTCTTGAAGCCGGAAAATATAGGTATTCCCGGACCCCTCCTAAAATAGCTTAAGGATTTCGTAGTAGGTCGTAGGCAGAAAGCAATAGCGAATTCTAAATGCCTCACCTGGAGACCAGTACTTAGTAAAGTACCTCAGGGTTTTTTCTTAGGTTCTTCACCTTTTATGCTGTATTTAAATGAACTTCCAAGTATAATCGAGTCCACAGTGTTACTATACGCTAATGTAAGACTCTGACGAGAAATAACGGGAGACGCAGATGCATACGTACTTCAGGAAGACCTAACTGGTCTAAGGAGTGGCTGATGGCTATCAACGCAGCGAAGTGTGTCTACATGCACTTTGGGAATACAAGGGTAAATATGTACAACATAGGAGAAGTGCCTTTACCCGTGGTTTGGTCTCACAAGGATCTTGAGGTGACAATGAGTCATGATCTCAAGACCACGGCCCATTGCCGAGAGGCAGAAAACAAGTAGTTTAGAACCCTATGGGCTTTAAGAGGGACATTTACTAAGTTAGATACTACTGTAGTGACTCACATTTATCACGAGAACATGACTGGTTTAATAAAAACAATTATTATTATAACCAACTGTACCAGTGCTTGTTTTAATGTGCTTTTGTTTGACTGTGCTAATGACAGCTATATTGTGCTTCCATTCTAATTCTTACACTTTGATTGTGACTTCGCGCGAATTCGGTTACGTTCTGTAACCAAGCTTGTATCCTGGCACGATCTCGGTATCCTTTCGATACCACGAGATCGCCAGCGAATATATCTCGATTTGGTCCATTAATTGCCTTCTGATATTTGGCTTCTCGGGGATTTTATGGATTTATTTCGTTACGTCCAATCTTCGCCTTCTGATTAACTTGGCACGTGTTTCTCTGTAGCGGTGTTCATAGTTAATCCCAACTCGACGGCACGCTACACTACCATGTTCATTGCAGTATACAAAACCTTAATACAGCCCAAACTTGAGAACTGGGCTCAAACTGAAAACAATTGTTTCAAAGGAGATTCACAATAGATCGAAACATCTCAGAGGACATAGCAGGTGCATGGCCAGTGAAATGTCGCTGAGCCTCAACCAAATAATCCGGCAGTTGGGTCACTGAATATTGAACAAATCGTCGATCCCCGTAAGGGCCAAGGACAACCAACACGTATCAGTTTATCGTACGCCATGGACTGGCCCATGAGGCGGTGGTCTTACTTTCATTTGCATCTATTTTAACTAATATATTTCTGTAATAATGTCCCTTGTGTTGTACAGTCTTCAAAGCATCTATAGTACCTCAATACGTCGATGGGGCAATCCACGTAAGGTGCTGACCGCGAGGTGTGACTTCGACGTTAGCTGGTTCGTCACACAATTCCCGTCTAACTCTAATAAATTCTCAGTCATTCGAGATAGATCATCTACGCTGGTGATTTACATGGGCGAGTATAAAGGCGAGGAATCAACAAAATGCCCATTGCACACAGATTTTCACACTAAGTCAACAATTCTGTGAACCCGTTACCCGACGCAGTAGTGCCTGCACCTTCAGTTGATTCATTCAAGAGAAGAACAGACACTCATAGAGGCATGCTAGAAAAAGAGTAACATGGGAAATAGGCTTTCTGTTCTTACTACACAAATCTGAACCGAAATATGAATCTGAACGCTTGATTAAATCGAGTTGTCTCACTTGCCTTCTCCGACCCGCTTCGCTCTCCCCTCTTCGTCACGAGTACATAAAATATACATGCCCAAAATCTAATTATTTAATACCGTTATTCTCTAATGTGGATTATGTCGATAAATATATACGGAGGTAGGTGGGATGTTTATTTCTATAACAACCAGCATACAATCACAAACACAGAGCTTCTAGACAGTTAAATGGCTTGGTCACACACACACTGGACGACATGATTTTCCTGAAGCTATGTCACTGCATCAAGTATCTAGAACAAAGAATTAATTAAATTATGTAAATTCGTCTTGAGGATATTGGATGTCGTACGAAGACAATTTAAACCTTCCGCCCTATTCAGGTTTAGGGTAGTCAAATGTGCTTTTATGTCTGTGTTTGTGTTGGTAAGGCTTTCCAGGATTATATGTAACATGAAAAATCCTGATTCTGTCGAACAATTTATTTCTGTCTTTTGGGTGGTTGTTTCTTGTCAGCCTAACAGTGCAGTTGTGGTTGAGACGTGTGAATCTCAACTTCTGACTCCTGGGTCTGATCTCCTCTTCACTTACTTCAGTTTAAGCTTCTGAAAAGTGTTATTAGCTGCCACACCTATTTTCTGGCCGGTTTTTAAATATCTGAAGAATGAGTTGGTCTGAATTCTAGATGAAACTATAATTTATGAACGACACTTAGGCGACTCTAAAGTGAAATTGAAAGTGTCCACCTACTTACTTGTGTTAATTGAGGTTTGGAATTAGAGTTGGGGTCTTCATCATGAACTGACATCAGCTACAACGTCAAAATGTATTTAGCCACATGAATGAGTGAATTTCGTTCCTGAATCTAAGACTAGTCATCTTAAATACGATCAGTTCGTCCGTAAATTATGATATCGCTCCTAACGCAGTGTGACTGTTTGTAGCTGTAAACACGTTGTAGTCCTACAACCAATGACTTCATGAAGTAGTTCCACTTTTTGGTTTGACCACTCATCTGTTCTTCACATTAGTTTACAGCAACCAGCTCCTCCCGTATCTGTGCTATGGTGATATTTGCCTTAATAGTCAGTTAACGAGGACTTAATCTTATCAGTTTACTTCTTATTTTTACTCTTCACAAGGAAATATAAAGCAATTACTGATTGCTGAGAATCTAAAACTGGGAGATTTATTGCGATTTTCTCACAGTCCGAGTATTTGGGCTAGTTCCCATATTAAATATACTCTGTACTGGTAGAATCATATTTATCCATACAACGGTAACATTTCTTAGTAAGATACTTCATAAGCTTAAAATTTCGTTCGTTGTAAGTATCTATCACTACATATTCAAAGGAGTTTCACAATGATCCGATTACTATCAAATCCAAAGTAAGATGGTATGGCAGTTTATTAATACAACAAATTTCAAATTTATAGCACTTTAAAATAATATTTAATCTTGACTTTTCTTTTTTTTTAGTCCCAACTGCTGTTTAATGGGCTAGTGGAAGTGAATATTGTTATTCTCCATACACAAAGGCATTAAACCAAACGATAGAAAAAGCACACTAGAAAATTTGTTCCATATGTTCCTACTTTGAAGCAATTTCCTTCAGAATAGTTACTATATAACTATGGAGTGCTTCTGCCACTGTTATGTCTGGATACCATTTTTTATTTTGCTCCAAGGGATTTGTGAGGCTTATACACAACAAAAATTACTTGTAATATCTTTAGATGGTTTCAGTCATAATTATCTAGATCGTGCTAAGCTTCGGAATGTCAACATTTCCTCTTTTGAACGGATTTGGAAGACCGGAATACGTGTTATGAAAGTACATAATGAGTTTATTACTCGAACAGGACCAAATCACTTATCACTGGTCACTGGGATGCATGAAGAGAGTCATGGTATTGTTGATAATGTGTTTTATGATCCTGAGCTTAATGATACTTTTGACTTGAGTAATACGAGGCATTTATCACAATTAAAGTGGTTTGATGTTGGGTCTGAACCAATTTGGGTTACAAATCAACGTCATGGTCATAAAAGTGCTGTTACGTTTTGGCCAGGGAGTAGTACACCATTCAAAGGACAATTACCTAGTTTTTATTATTCCCAGTATAACCATCAACTTCCTTTAGTTGATCGAATTAATCAAACCATTAAGTGGTTAAATTTAGATGAAGTGACACTTGGTCTAATATATTTTCATGAACCTGACTCACAGGGTCATTTGACCGGACCTGACTCTGTCGAAATTTTTAATGTTATCGAGAAGTTAAATGATGATATTGGGTACTTACTGTCTTTAATTGATACTAGGCCATCTCTAAAATCATCACTTAACATTATTTTAACAAGTGATCATGGGATGTCTGGAGTGGATGCTAACAGAATAATTATTCTGCATGATTATATCAACGAGAGCATGTATTATAGTCCGGGGTCAGAGGATCGTGTGTTTTGGTCATTATGGCCAAAAGATGGTAATTTGTCCGTTCATATAAACTTTTCTAAATGTTAAAAGGGAGCTCATCTATTAATCTCTACAAAAGACTGGTCGGAAAACATCCAAAGATGAATGTTTTTCTGAAGGATAATATACCTATTCGTTTGCACTACTCGAATAATCGACGAATAAGCCCAGTGGTAGTTTATTCGGAGCCTGGGTGGACAATCGTTAGATCACGAAAATCGGTTGCGAAATTTAGTAAGTATAGTATTTTAAGTATTGATATGCGAGTCGTCTTACTTGTTTTGGTCACATAAACAGCTTCATTTGATTTTATTATCCTAAAATTTTTCCAATTTCTGGCATAAACTATTCTTGTTCAACTTTTAAAAATCAAATTGGTTGTGTTAGCCAAAATCAAAAGTATAAATGAAGGAAGATAGGTACTCGGATGATTCCTTTATATTTTCATCTAAAATTGATAATATTAAACTCCTGCTTGCTGCATTGCAAAATCTGTTATCTTATGACCATTCGTATTTTTTGAACAATAAAAGTGAATCATAGAACTACTATCGATTGTTTTGAAGATTTCAAGCTAAGTTACGTTTATGCATAAGCCCATTTTTCACGGATGCCTGGACTTGAGTACGTTCAAGAAACAGTTATAGTTTATCTTATCAATCAGACAGTAATGTAGAGCCCGAAGCAAATATGCATCGTTCAAAGTTCACACGCAATATGAACACAGTGAGATGAAATTATCAAAATGCATACCAAAGTATCAGTGGTAGCAGAAATACTGGGTTTAAAGAAAGTAATTTGCTGTAAAGAATATATTCGCGGAACAAAAAGTATTGAGTTTTTAAACATACGTTTTGGGAGTAAACAAGCAGTGAATACATCTACTCCATTTCGACCAATTCCGAGCTATTTTACCCAAGGTTTACAACATATAGTCACGTTGTTCATACCAACCCCAACCTGCCAGTATTCACCTGTCGTTCTGTCTAAGAGTAACAGCAGTAAGGTGTTTCCCTCGGACAACCAGCATGACAGCGATGCTGCCTTCCCACAAGGAGGGGTGGGGTTAGAAAAGGTCGGCCCTAGATAGGGACACTCGTCGTTGCCTCTTCGTCGTCTCTGCCTATTCTCCCACTGACTGCAGCTCAGATGATGTAAAAGATGAGTTTTACAGAAAGCTTTCGGACCTTCTCCGAAAAGCTAGGCGCTCGGATGTAGTAATAGTGGCCGGTGACTTTAATGCTCAAGTAGGCAAACTAAGTGATAAGGAAAGACACCTAGGTGGATCCTATGGTGTCGTGGCTCAAAGAACAGATAATGGCGACCGTCTGTTGCAGCTATGCTCAGATAACCGCCTGTTCCTTGCAAATACTAACTTTAAGCATAAGGAAAAACATCTTTTAACATGGCGACCCCCTAATTCGTCCCAACGTTGGACCCAACTGGATCACATCGCTATCAGCCACCGATGGAGGGGCTCGATAGAAGACTGTCGCTCATTCTGGAGCACATGCCTAGATTCAGATCATGCTCTAGTGCGAGCGCGTATTTGCTTGCGTCTTACTGGACGTAGGAAAGATCCTGCAAGGAAACCTCTTAGGGCCCTACTTAATGATAGTCAAGCTAAGAGTATATTTCAGGAACAACTAGGAAAACAGTTAGGCAGCCATGTATGTGGTGCCCACCCCGATGCAGCATGGAATGATATCCGAAAAGCTGTGGAAACAGCAGTGATATCTGCTAGTAAGGTAAACCAGAAGGTTAGGGAGCAACACTGGATCTCAGCAGCATCTATCTCACTGATAGATGCTCGGAAACACATTCCACCTGGCTCTGAACATAATGAAGAGCGGAGTCAGCTTAAGCGCAAGCTGACAAGAAGTCTACGCAATGATCGCGAACAGTGGTGGGTAGCGAAAGCAAGAGAGATGGAAAAGGCAGCGGCAATAGGTAATAGCAGCAGGCCCTGGCAGGTTTACTCCTGAGATTTTTAAGGATGGTGGTCCAGTATTAGCAATGAGATTAACCGAGGTCTTAGGTAGAATTTGGGAACTGGACGTAATCCCATCTGACTGGTCTCAATCACTGATTGTGCCAGTCTATAAGAAAGGACAAAAGTCCTCTTGTGACAATCACAGAGGAATCAGTTTGACTAATATAGTGTCTAAAATATTAGCTTCAATAATACTTCGACGCCTAACAAAGCTCGTGAAGAGCAGACTAGAGAAAACCAGGCTGGTTTTCGACCTGGACGTGGTTGTATAGATCAGATATTCACACTACGTCAGGTTCTAGAACACAGACACACATTCAGACGCCCCACAATGGTAGTATTTCTCGACCTTAAGGCGGCATTCGACTCGATTGATCGTGAGGTTCTATGGCAGTGTTTGTCACTGAAAGGAGTACCAAAGAAGTACATTAACCTTATAAAGGCTCTCTACTCGAACACAACTGGTCGAGTGAGAGCTTATGGCGAACTGTCATCAGAATTGATCACCTCAAGTGGTGTTCGTCAGGGCTGTCCACTCTCCCCATTCTTGTTCAACTTTGTCATTGACGTACTTTTAGAGATAACACTCTCCTCATCTAAATTTACAGGGGTTGAACTTCTACCAGGAGGTTCACTTGTTGACTTAGAATATGCTGATGACATCGTTTTATTTGGTGAAGACACTGACAAAATGCAGAGTCTTCTGGCCACTCTAAGCAACAATGCAAGCATGTTCGGGATGCGATTCTTTCCCTCGAAATGCAAAATGTTGCTTCAGGATTGGGTTACATCGACACCCGAACTAGTGATAGGGAGTGAAGTAGTTGAGTGTGTCGACCGCTTCACTTATCTTGGAAGTCTCATCAGCCCTTGTGGTTTAGTGTGTGACGAAATCTCAGCACGGATACAGAAGGCTCGACTAGCTTTTGCCAACTTGCGTCATTTATGGCGTAGGCGAGATATCCGTCTATCAACCAAAGGACGTGTTTACTGCGCAGCAGTTCGTTCCGTCCTACTTTATGGGAGTGAAACATGGCCGGTAAGAGTAGAGGATATCCGTAGGTTACTAGTATTTGATCATAGGTGTCTTCGAAACATTGCTCATATATCATGGGACCATCGAGTAAGTAACACAGTTGTTAGGAAACGGGTACTAGGTAAGGATGGCAAATCAATTGATGAAGTAGTGAAACTTCATCAGTTGAGATGGCTGGGACACGTGTTACGTATGCCCAACGACCGACTGCCTCGACGTGCTATGTTCAGTGGTATAGGAGTAGGTTGGAAGAAAGCTAGGGGCGGCCAAACCAAAACATGGCACAAGTCCATGAAGTCACTGACAAGTGAACTGAGTCATGTTGGTAGGTGTAGACTACCTGGTTGGGGACCGCGAGATGATAGCAACCGATGGTTAGAGACCCTGAATGACATGGCTCAAAATCGTTTGCAATGGCGCAGGTGCATCCACTCTCTGTGTTCTCCCAAATTCTAATCTTCTGAATTCTTCATGTCCCTTTTTTTCCTCTTTCCAAATTTCTTTCACTGGATTATACTCTTTAAATAACATCTCCAAACCCTAATCTTCCCGATTACTGCTTATACTCTTATTACCTCTACCACTACGGGATTTGAATCGACAAGTGCATCTCTGTGCTAATGTGGTGTGGCAACTCGAACTGATGTACGTACGTACGAAGTTCTACGTTGTTACTGACTGACTGACTAAGAGTAACCGTCAAAATTTTAGAAGCTCAAATTGATCATTTCACTTAATCAAATCTTTAATATATCTAGGTCTTGACATCCCATCTGTTCACATATTTATAGTGGTAAATAAAGTCACTTCTGTCTTATTGCTTCAGGCACTATTTTGAAAAATGGGTCACAACTTCGAACTGTGCATCATCTGTTCAGTCTTGGGCAGTCATTTGGCGTCAATAACGTTTATAAGAAGTATGGATCATAGGTTATAGTCTCTGTGTCATATTTTTGATATGATGAGATAGAATTAGGTTCAACAGTTAGGACTTAATCCATTGGGTAGTGAACGACCCGAAAAATTAATACTGGTCAATCGTTTATAATATTTAGTCGTGTTATTCTCCTGTTAATAATTTTTATATGAATATACTATTCGATCGCAAGAAAAACTCGTACTTTTGTCTAGCGGCCTTAATTTAAACTACAAATTATTCAAGGACTTACATCAATAATTCGGTCCTGTGAAAATTCATTATTGTACTACATTGTATTGTATCATCTATCGATCCGTATTCTTTTGATCCTTCTTAGCCATTGGAAATTTCAACAAATCATATAACCTCACCTTATGATAACTTCATTTATTCTCGATAAATACGTTGATAGTAGGTCGTCAGAGTGTTGCTGAACCGTATGAAGGATGCAGTAGACGCCCAACTTCGAGATCAACAAGCTGGATTCCGTAAGGATCGGTCGTGCACAGACCAAATTGCAACACTACGGACCATCGTCGAACAATCAGTGGAGTGGAACTCATCACTATACATCAACTTCATTGATTATGAAAAGGCATTCGACAGTGTAGATAGGAGGACATTATGGAAACTTCTTCGACACTACGGAGTTCCTGAGAAGATTGTCAACATTATCCGGAACTCATACGACGGACTACAGTGCAAAGTAGTGCATGGAGGACAGCTGACAGATGCATTCCAAGTAAGGACTGGAGTCAGACAAGGCTGTCTACTCTCTCCCTTCCTCTTTCTTCTGGTGGTCGACTGGATTATGAAGACCTCAATATCTGAAGGAAAACACGGCATACAATGGACAACTCAGAATCAATTAGACGATTTGGACTTCGCAGACGACCTAGCCCTCCTATCGCATACACACGAACAGATGCAGATGAAGACAGCCAGTGTAGCAGCAGTCTCTGCATCAGTAGGCCTCAGCATACACAAAGGGAAAACCAAGGTCCTCAAATTCAACACGCAGAACAGCAATCAAATCACTCTTGATGGCGAAACTCTGGAAGATGTAGAGTCCTTCACATACCTAGGAAGCATCATCGATGAACAAGGAGGTTCAGATGCAGACGTAAAGGCGAGGATCGGCAAAGCAAGGGTCGCATTCCTACAATTGAAGAATATATGGAACTCAAAACAACTTTCAACCAATATCAAAGTGAGAATCTTCAATACGAACGTCAAGGCAGTTCTACTGTATGGAGCTGAAACTTGGAGAACTACAACAACCACCATCAAGAAGGTACAAGTATTTATAAATAGCTGCCTACGCAAGATACTCAACATCCACTGGCCGGATACCATCAGCAATAGCCTTCTGTGGGAGAGAACAAAGCAACTTCCAGCTGAAGAAGAAATTAGGAAAAGACGATGGAAATGGATAGGACATACATTACGCAAACCGTCAAACTGCATCACGAGGCAAGCCCTAACTTGGAACCCTGAAGGGAGGCGAAAAAGAGGAAGGCCAAAGAACACATTGCGTCGGATTATAGAAGCAGATATGAAAAGGATGAATTACAACTGGACGGAGCTAGAAAGGATTGCCCAGGACAGGGTTGGATGGAGAATGCTGGTGAGTGGCCTATGCTCCTTCACGAGGAGTAACAGGCGTAAGTAAGTAAGTAAGTAAGGTCGTCAGATGTAATTGAACCTTCTAACATTCAAATATTTATTCTGCGATTCATTTAGTTTTGACACTACGCTATTCACCTTAATACAATTACTCATTAGATTTCAATCTCCTGGTCAATTCTATCTAGTTATATATTGGATTCATTCAGTAATGCTCCTTGTTTACTGTATTTCAGCTAAACGTGGAGATCATGGTTATGATCCGGACCATGATGAAATGTCTCCATTCTTTCTAGCTACGGGACCAGGATTCAGGAGCACGATTGTTGGTGGCGGTCAAATAATTAGTTCTATTCATCTGATTGATATTTATCCACTGATGTGTGCCTTACTCAATTTAAATAAACCAGCTCCAAACAATGGTAGTTTATCACGTGTGATGTCACTCCTTCATGATGGTAGTGGTGTTAATGTCTACTTCTCGAGTTTTCTGGATATGTTCACTGGTTAGTTTATTCAATAGTTTGCTCGAAGTTATTTGTCAATTACCGCGCACATACAATGTTGACAGATTCTCATCTACTGCTTTGTAATTGTTACATTTTCCCGTGTTAGAGATGCTAGACCCCCAGAAATCACCTGATAAACGTCTTATTTCTGTAGTTTTTGGAAGTTTGAATTTCCCGTTTTCGCGCTAAAAGTGCCCAGTTTTACCTTTAAATTGTATTTCCCACTTGGAAGGACGGTAAATGTCATTGACTCGTTGCCTGTTTTAATACGCTATTTTATGATGAATATGTATACTTGGTTTTTCGTGCTTCTGGCTGCTTCTAGATTATACATTTTCTTTATCTGAACCAAGTCTTCTCCCTGGAGTAGCAGGGCTGGGACGCATCGGAGTAACTAGTTTGTTTTGTCTTTGTGTCTCTGACCCTTCGTTCCGTCCGCCGATTTTAGGTGATCTCATGATCTCTTCAAACATAACATTCCCTATTCTCCACAAGTTATTTAAATCCAAGTATGTGTGGTTCACTTCTAAATCCTCAGTATAACTCGAGTCTTCACCATCACGTTCTCTGTCACAAAACATTTTGCCATTTTTGATTACACAAAATACACAGTGTCTCCGGAGTTACTCGTTACTATGTTCATTTTATTAGGGTGTATGTGATTTGTTATGAAGGATAAGGATAGATTAGTACAATAGGATATTAATATCAGTTACGGAGATTAGCTGACTAATACACCGAGACAAACAACAGCTCATAACATAACAATCCTGAAATCTAGTCAACTGTTTTATCTTTAAGGCCATTAGGAGCTGATACATAAAACAATAGGAATTATCTATTGTGATTTAAGATATATGGTTGGAAGATATTTAAATGAAATCAGGATTTTGAATTCCATATAATCTGTTGTTATGCTTTGAAAGCCATCTAAAAGTTCCATCTTGAAGTTAGTTATCGATTTCCTATTTTACTCTACGTCAAAGTATTTAATACGGAACTCAGATAGCATAAACAATAATAATAATAATAGATTCCGAGAATTATTGCATAATATACGTCATTTTACAGGCATGATCAGGTTGATACAAAACATTACTAAGTAACACTAGTAATAACTATAAGTCTATTCTATCTGGAAGATGACTTCTAATCATTTTGGACAAATCTGATTTTTTTAAAAAGCAAAACTTTCAGTGTAATCGAATGGATATGTGTATCCGTGAAACGATTTTTCAATACAACATTAATGATTGTTTACACTCCAGAGCATAGCAAAATCAATTTTCGTAGGCATAAATTCTCTACAAATATACAGACTGGTAGCATATACAGAGTTACTAAGCATGTGGCATAAATGTACCCTCAGCACTCTTACGGAGATGCAAAACTTATTAATCAATATATACAACTTAATGGCTAATTGCTATGTTTGAAGAGATTACGAGTTCGCCTAAATCTGCGAACGGAACGAAGACTGAACAACACAATAACCAATAAGATAGCTATTCTAAGGCGTTCCAGCCCGTCTAACTTGAGTGAAGTCCAGGTTCAGCAAAGGGAAATGTATTCACAAGCAGCTAGAAGCACGCACAACTTAAGCGTATATATACAGCATAAAAATGTCTTTGGGAAACGTTACAAAGTAGCAGATTAAAAAAAACGAACCGATGATATTTAAGGTCCTCCCAAGTGGGGACAACGACATGAAGGTGAAAACGGGCGCTTTTGATGCGAGAACATGAAATTCAAAATTAAGTTACAAAAATAAGACATTTACCAAGTGAGTTCTGGAGATCTAACATCCCCAATATTCATACAGTAAATGTCGGCTCATTATCATAAATATTAGACTAGTATTATACATATTACAGTTCTCTTGTATTATAACTTAATCCGAATATTATATCAAGAGTTACGAATTATTCTAATTCAACTTAGTAGAAATTAGCCATTACATAGTAATTTGTCCACCCATTTATGAATCACACTATAAGCTCTGTTCATTAATATTACATATTTTCTCATAAGAGGATTAAGTGAAGTGGATTTCAAACCTCCTATTCAATAAACCGTATGTCAAGCATATCACCCATTATATAAGATAGCTATCCACCTGTGTTACTAATAATATCCTTATCAATCTACTGTTTGCACAGTATAATATAAGTGTGGTGGATGGTATTTATCCCGGCACATATAAGTAGTATGTATCACCAGTCGCGAGTGCAATATCTACCAACAGAAGATTGAATTAAGAAAAAAAACAGGAAGGGAAACAGAACGATTGAAATAACAACATAATTAGAACAATCACAAAGTATGTAAATAACAACTGAAGAAGAATGTGCAAATAATGTGATCATTGTATAGCTTCCATATTTTGACAAGGTGTCGTGTGTAATTTTACACACAAAAAAGACAATAAATTGGTTCACACTACCCGAGCTCTCGTTTACTACATAAGTATCGTATCATAATTATTTGTTCGAGTACCTGTTTACTCATTTTAACCGGTACTGTTTTAACCTAACTTAATTGTTCACTTGCTCATTCATATACTACCAATGTTACATCCTTTTTACTTGACTATATTTATTTATTTATTTAAACACATAAATATTGGTACAAGGAGGCACCAAGTAGATATGCGCCACACAGACCTCATTTGATATGTGTGAGGGCTGTGATACTGCCCGGGTGCCCAAACCGAAGCAAGTGGTTTTCTTAGGGGGCCACATCCGGAGCCTTCAACCTAAAGGTCTAACCCACAAGGCAATGGAGTATCCTGAGGAGATTCAGTCCCGTGGTAGCCGGTGACCAAGGATTGTTTTATACGCCATTTGTTCCTTCAGGATACTGGAGCCCATGCGCACCGTTGGTTTGGAATGAGGGTTTTCCAACTCCCCTATATGGACTCCATATCCACCAACCCAGTTAAAGCACCGGACATCCGCTTTTCGTCCTCTCAATTTCGTAAACGACACCCCCGCCACGAGAAGGCAGCGAGTAGGACTTCCCTGGCAGAGGCTGTGTACGCGTGGCCGTGTGGGAGCATTTCGAGAGGGAGGGCGGGCCCACTCTACTCTCGGCTATACCAGGGCATTTGGGGGCTACTTGACTATAAGTCTAGGATTTCATACATATATATAGCGAGAGAGATTACTTTTGATGATAGTATATGCTTTTTTATCTCATCTTATTGTTTGTGTTCTTCTCTTCTCCAAAACTTGATCAATCAAAATAATAGTCGGAATTGTTTTATTATGTTGTACAACCGTATCAATTGTATACATAATATGCACATGTATTTCATCTAAAGATTATCTATTTCCTGATGATAATAATAATAATAAGTTAAAACATTCTATTTATCAACCAAATTCATTTCTACTTCAACGACGTTTACGTAATAAATCTCAACATGATAAACAAAAACAACAATATTGTAATATTGAATTAAATAAGATGAACACTTTAAAAAATAAAATAAAAACAAAAAATAAATTCTATGAAATGTATTTAAAAAATGAATCAATTAAACAAACAACAGATAGACAACGATTACTTGATTATAATATACGGGATAGTAATGTTCCCAATAGTTACAATGTCGGTTGTCATGATGATGAAGAATATGAAGAATATAATCGATTTTCTATTCAACATATAGATGATGAAACTTTTTTAAATTTACTTCGTCAACCAAATAGTAAATATCCTTAAGAATGCTTAAAATTTTTCTTCTAGTAATCTATTAGTGACTTATTCTTTCAGTCTCTTACTTTGTTACTACATGTTGTGATATTGAAATTTGTGATATAACCATAGTGATTTAGGTGCATTATGATTTGAAGTTTATATAGATGGCTGTGTTTCATGTTATTATTGTATTTATGCATAGCCAAGTGGCATAAATTTTTGTGTTTTCTTGTTTTTATTATATTTTCAAATTAACTGTATCTACTTTTGATTACTTCGTTTATGTATATGTATTGACACATATTTGTATGAACATGTATCATTTAAGGTATCAGTTCGATTATTACTTTTTGTGTATGTGATGGATATTTGTGATATTTTGCCAAGTTTTCTTTGGTTATTTTTGTTTATGAATTTTTATTAAATATTATTTAGTTACTAATTTTTTTTTTATGTTTCATTTTGATTAGATTTCATGAGTGTCATCTATTGTAATGTGCTGTGTCCGAAATCTGATACTAACAAGGTGTGCTACGTGTTAACCCCCCCCAACTGACTACTTGAGCGAGAAAGTGTGTTGGGCTACCCGATGAAATACACTTGACCTTTAGGTGACTTGTAATTGCCATCGATTAAACTTTTCATTAGGCTACTCCTTATTGACTCTCCATATCATCTATCACTAACCCTACTGGATCGTTAGTTGATCGTTACAAGAATCATACTAAGGAATACTAATATATAAGAGATTTAATTTCAAATGAAATTACTGAGATTAGCGAGTGGAAAGTATCAATTTAGAGGGGAATGTGAATGATAAATTCAGCTCGGTGATATTGTAACCGATTTTATGCTATATCACTTTTACCAATGTGAATATCTGCTCCTCTTGAAATGTTTCATTCTAGCCATTAATGGTATCATGAACAGATTCTGTCCCTTAATGAGTCCTTCTTAATTATTATGGAGCTTGGCATAAATATGCATTAGCTTAAGTCATCACACCATGTCAGCACGGGGAGATGAAATCAACAAAATAGATATCGAAGAAGCAGTAATAATCACAACAATAATAGTCAGAAATTTTATACAATTAGTTCCCTTTATGAAGTTAAATAAAGCCAGAACAGAACATACATGGATGCAGAATAATGTGAATTCATTATATTTCGTGGTTTCTCATCAGCTGCTTACAACCAAATATGTATTAAAATTTCACATTTAGGTAAGATATAATGTGAAACCATTGACATAGATAAATGAGAATTGAAATGAGAAAGGTTGGCCGCTGAGAATATGATTCCAGAAGATGGGATGAAAAGGTATATAGCAGACAATTGTTCAGACTCGTTAAGGAAACCGGAATTAGGAACCCGACCGTTAGCGAAACAATCTCAGAGAAAGATGGACATATTATTCATTCTCAATCCAGGAGATTGGATCGATGGGCAGAACACTTTAGGGATCAGTTCAACTGGCCTTCAGCCACACTTCGGTTTCCCACGATCTCTAGTCAACCTGAATGGCAAGTTAATGTAGGTCCTCCGTCCCTTTACGAAGTTGAAAAAGCCATAGGAAATCTGAAACGAGGGAGAGCAGCAGGCCCTGACAGGTTTACTCCTGAGATTTTTAAGGATGGTGGTCCAGTATTAGCAATGAGATTAACCGAGGTCTTAGGTAGAATTTGGGAACTGGACGTAATCCCATCTGACTGGTCTCAATCACTGATTGTGCCAGTCTATAAGAAAGGACAAAAGTCCTCTTGTGACAATCACAGAGGAATCAGTTTGACTAATATAGTGTCTAAAATATTAGCTTCAATAATACTTCGACGCCTAACAAAGCTCGTGAAGAGCAGACTAGAGAAAACCAGGCCGGTTTTCGACCTGGACGTGGTTGTATAGATCAGATATTCACACTACGTCAGGTTCTAGAACACAGACACACATTCAGACGCCCCACAATGGTAGTATTTCTCGACCTTAAGGCGGCATTCGACTCGATTGATCGTGAGGTTCTATGGCAGTGTTTGTCACTGAAAGGAGTACCAAAGAAGTACATTAACCTTATAAAGGCTCTCTACTCGAACACAACTGGTCGAGTGAGAGCTTATGGCGAACTGTCATCAGAATTGATCACCTCAAGTGGTGTTCGTCAGGGCTGTCCACTCTCCCCATTCTTGTTCAACTTTGTGGTAGGCATACTTTTAGAGATAACACTCTCCTCATCTAAATTTCCAGGGGTTGAACTTCTACCGGGAGGTTCACTTGTTGACTTAGAATATGCTGATGACATCGTTTTATTTGGTGAAGACACTGACAAAATGCAGAGTCTTCTGGCCACTCTAAGCAACAATGCAAGCATGTTCGGGATGCGATTCTTTCCCTCGAAATGCAAAATGTTGCTTCAGGATTGGGTTACATCGACACCCGAACTAGTGATAGGGAGTGAAGTAGTTGAGTGTGTCGACCGCTTCACTTATCTTGGAAGTCTCATCAGCCCTTGTGGTTTAGTGTGTGACGAAATCTCAGCACGGATACAGAAGGCTCGACTAGCTTTTGCCAACTTGCGTCATTTATGGCGTAGGCGAGATATCCGTCTATCAACCAAAGGACGTGTTTACTGCGCAGCAGTTCGTTCCGTCCTACTTTATGGCAGTGAAACATGGCCGGTAAGAGTAGAGGATATTCGTAGGTTACTAGTATTTGATCATAGGTGTCTTCGAAACATTGCTCGTATATCATGGGACCATCGAGTAAGTAACACAGTTGTTAGGAAACGGGTACTAGGTAAGGATGGCAAATCAATTGATGAAGTAGTGAAACTTCATCAGTTGAGATGGCTGGGACACGTGTTACGTATGCCCAACGACCGACTGCCTCGACGTGCTATGTTCAGTGGTATAGGAGTAGGTTGGAAGAAAGCTAGGGGCGGCCAAACCAAAACATGGCACAAGTCCATGAAGTCACTGACAAGTGAACTGAGTCATGTTGGTAGGTGTAGACTACCTGGTTGGGGACCGCGAGATGATAGCAACCGATGGTTAGAGACCCTGAATGACATGGCTCAAAATCGTTTGCAATGGCGCAGGTGCATCCACTCTCTGTGTTCTCCCAAATTCTAATCTTCTGAATTCTTCATGTCCCTTTTTTCCTCTTTCCAAATTTCTTTCACTGGATTATACTCTTTAAATAACATCTCCAAACCCTAATCTTCCCGATTACTGCTTATACTCTTGCTACCTCTACCACTACGGGATTTGAATCGACAAGTGCATCTCTGTGCTAATGTGGTGTGGCAACTCGAACTGATGTACGTACGTACGAAGTTCTACGTTGTTACTGACTGACTGACTGATAGGAAGTATTCAATAAATAAAGTTTAGAAAAGAGCAAGAACAAAGATTCTAGCAGAATAGCATGAATTCATTTTATTTCGTAGGTTCTCCTCAGCTGCTTACAACCTGTGATATTTAAAAATCATAATTACGTACTGGGTTTGAATTGCTAACTGAATATTGTAAATATATACCTAATGTGAAAGAATATTCTACAACATTAATTGTGACAGCAGTTCAAAAGTGGGTTAGAAACAATCGATTACATAATGAATAACATTGAAGGAATGTAGTGAGTAGAGTTCAGTTGAAAGATTATTAATTTGAAAGATGGTTGAAAAAAATAAAATAGAGTCAATGATGTAATAAATGCAAAAGAGAAAAAAATAAAATGAAATTTTATGGTGTAGTGAAGGAATATTTGTCTGCTCAAACTCTTCAATAACGCTCATACTAACATACATTTTACTATGGAGCACGAACAGAACGACATGTTCCACTTTCTTGATGTTGCCATAAAACGCAGGAGAGACGGGACAGTTCAACGCTCAATTTATAGAAAAAGTAATTGGAATGGCCTCTACCTAAATTTCAATAGTTTTTGTCTAATTTGTTACAAGAAGGCGTTGGTTAAAACACTTTTACAGGGCAGAAAAGATATGTACCACCGACAAACTGGAAGAAGAATTAATGAACGTAGAAAAAAGGTCTAAAAGAAAACTTTTATCCACAAAAGTTTATTGACAAATATAAAAGGCCCAAAGAAAAGAAGACGGAAATAACTATGGTCAATAAAAAATCAGTATATATAAATCTTAACTTTAAAGGTGATGACGTCGCACAGATTATCAACAAGAGACTGAATACAGCGATAACCAGAACTTATCCGGCTGCTAAACTTTTAATTCTCTATAAAACAACATGTTCAATAACTCAATCAAAGACCGACAAGCAACCCTTTCAGGTTACCGCCAACTGTATTTATAAATTTACGTGTACCTGCCAAAGCAGCTACATCGGCCGAACTGAAAGGAGAGCATATCTTAGATTCTTTGAACATGTTCCAAAAAGTCTTAGAACAAGAGAAAGGAATACTCTGAACAGTGCAATCACCAAACATCTCCTTGATACAGGACATCAGGTAGATACCTTACAATCCTTTAGGGTGATTAGCAAGTAGCCAAACCCCAGTCTTCTGAAGTTTGCTGAAGCCATTGCCATCAGGCGTCAAAAACCTGACCTATGTATTCAAAAGGAGACGGTGGTTAATCTTTCCTTGCCCTGGTGACAAATATTCCTTCACTACACCATAAAATTTCATTTTATTTTTTTTCTCTTTTGCATTTATTACATCATTGACTCTATTTTATTTTTTTCAACCATCTTTCAAATTAATAATCTTTCAACTGAACTCTACTCACTACATTCCTTCAATGTTATTCATTATGTAATCGATTGTTTCTAACCCACTTTTGAACTGCTGTCACAATTAATGTTGTAGAATATTCTTTCACATTAGGTATATATTTACAATATTCAGTTAGCAATTCAAACCCATTACGTAATTATGATTTTTAAATATCACAGGTTGTAAGCAGCTGAGGAGAACCTACGAAATAAAATGAATTCATGCTATTCTGCTAGAATCTTTGTTCTTGCTCTTTTCAAAATGATTAAGGGAACTATGTGTATGAAATAAAGTTTAGTATTAAAATAAATGGACCTGGATCGTTGTAACTACTTCTGACCCATGTCTTTAATCGATCATAGCATTTATCATGTGGGTCTCCATCAGGCATCTTACACCCACCAACATGGCTTAGAATTACAGTCCATGATTTCATGTACTGATGACATATCTTGATTTGACAGCTTCCTTCCACAACAGACAACAAACGCACTTCGAGGTAGACGGTGGATGGACATATAAACGTGATTTATTCTTAACCCTTTACACCATAAAAATATTCAGAGCTCCCAAGATGCTGGTAAAGGGTGTGTTACTTTTCTAGTACTTACTTACTTACGCCTGTTACTCCTCGTGAAGGAGCATAGGCCGCTCACCAGGATTCTCAATCCAACCCTGTCCTGGGCAATCCTTTCCA